GGGACTGTCTCTGTGGTCTTCAGCAAGTCATTTAACTTCTCTGCCCTTCCTTAAAAACAGACATAGCATGCCCCACGTATTCAGAAACGCTTGCAGACGGATGCGCCTTGCAGCAAAGAAGAGGTGGGGCAGAGGGCTGAGGAAGCAGCAACATAGAGAGTTCCCGAGGAACCCAGTGGAACCGAGAACCGCTGGGGCCAGAAGCCCAAGACTGCCCCTCTGAGCTGTGAGAAGCGGTGGCCCCCAGCTGGGGATGGCTTATGGAAAAGAAAAAGCATGGGCAATATCATGTGTTCATGACCCTGTTCCCTCCTCCTCCTCTGAGTTGGAATGAGGGCCCCTAGCCTGCGCTGCTCTCATGGGCCCCAGAGCCTCTGCGAATACCACTCCCTTCTCTCTTCTTGCTAACTGCAGCACAGCTGCCAAGACTGAATTCAAGAATTAGGCCAGGCGCAGTGGCTGATGCCTGTAATCCCAGCACTTTGGGAGGCCGAGGCAGGCAGATCACTTGAGGCCGGGAGTTCGAGACCAGCCTGACCAACATGGAGAAACCCTGTCTCTACTAAAAATACAAAAATTAGCCATTTGTGGTGGCACATGCCTGCAATCCCAGCTACTCAGGAGGCTGAGGCAGGAGAATCGTTTGAACCCAGGAGGCAGAGGTTGCAGTGAGCCAAAAGTACATCACTGCACTCTAGCCTGGGCGACAGAGCTAGACTCTGTCTCAAAGAGGAAAAAAAAAAAAGAAGAATCACGGTCTTGGACATCCCTTTTTGACAGTATTCTCGCCTAGGTCCGTTCCTTGCAGCACACGGAAGTGCTTACCCAGGTATAGCACTTACCCTGTGGCACTTACCACATTGTATTAGTTGGTTTCTGTATCAGGGACCCTCTCAGCTGTGCACGGCTCCAGGGGGTGGCGGCTGTAAGCTGGTGGATCTCCTTACATGGGACTGGTCTATAGAACGCCCCAGTGAAAGTATGTTGAATAAATGAATGGTCGGGGGAATGAATGAAGATAGGCTCAGGATCAGATACCAAAAGGTTAAAAGGACTTGGAGGGTAATGGGGGTCCCAGCTCCCTCTGCTGGGCATCAAATCACTGGTTAGAGAGCCCCCAGGCCTGTCCAAGACTAGCTGAGGTCCCTAGAGCTGGGATTTAGTTCCACAACACTCAGCTTGGCTTCTGTAACATTTTCCTCGACGTGTAATTAGAGACAATTGTCTGCATGTCTATTGGAATCACATCCCTGTCCCCTACTGGACTTGAAGCTCTTTGAGGCATCTGTCTCCTCTGTTCTCGCTCGTCACAGTACCCTAGTGCCTGGCACACAGGAGTTCTCTAGTACACACTTGAAGAATGACTATTGCAGGGAAGCAGTTCCATCCCCGCAAGCAGGCCCAGCATCAGTGTGCAGAGAAAAAGGCAGAAGCCACGAGCACGCTTGTCCTCCCAGCCATGTGCCGCATTCCCACGGCCTCCAAACCACCCAGCCCCAGCAGCCCTGGCCAGGCCTGCAGCAAAGGGCCTAGGAGCCCTGTGGGCGGGACCTGTTTCTCCGCCCCTTTAGCCTCCTCATCCTCTTCCCTCCAGAGACCTGAATGGAGTTGGTAGATTTCTCCAAGTGTCTGGGTTCATTCCATCTCTGCAATCTGCTAATCACTGTTCAGCGTTTTCCTGTCTGCTTCTATACTTTATTTAAACTTCATACAAATAAAAAATAGCTAAAATTTTTAAGCACTTACTATAATCCTGGCACATACTTTACATGTATTAACTGGATATCCATCTCAGGATATAGAAATGATAACTATACCTTTTTTTTTTGAGACGGAGTCTTGCTCTGTTGCCCAGGCTGGCAGTGGCGCAATCTTGACTCACTGCAACCTCCGCCTCCCAGGCTCAAGGGATTCTCCTGCCTCAGCCTCCTGAGTAGCTGGGCCTACAGGTGCATGCCACCACGCCTGGCTAGTTTTTGTATTATTAGTAGAGACCGGGTTTCACCGTGTTAGCCAGAATGGTCTCTATCTTCTGACCTTGTGGTCCTCCCATCTTGGCCTCCCAAAGTGCTGGCATTACAGGCATGAGCCACCGCGCTCGGCCAACATACCTTTTTATCACTGAGAGCATTGAGGCAGAGAGGTATGAGAAACAAGCGATCTAGGCTTTGAACCCCAGTCTGCCTGTACCCTAGATAGGCAGCCCTTCCCATGGCACTACCCACATTTTCTGGGTTCCAATCCAGGGTCTGGCCACTCAGGCTTAGGTATAGGGCTGCTGTCCAGGTCCCTTTCCCTAGGGCCACCTAGACGAGGGGACATGGTCAGGGGCTGAGCACAGACTGTAGCAGCTTAGCTCCCTAGCTGTTCCTACTCTCTGAGCTCAGGCACAGAGAGGGCAAGAAGGGGCTCCTTTGGGACCACAACTGCCCCCATGGGGCAAGTGGAATGAGGGAATCAACGGGGAGCAGCCCCTTTGAAGCCTCAACAACCCCCACCCCCACCGGCTTCCTTGTAGCCCTAACTCCGGAGATCTAATTTTCTGCCCCTAGAAAGTGTCTAAGTAACCAGGCCTACTAAGATCTCATTCCCTCTCACTCCTTATCTGTCCCCAGAAGAGCCAGACAGCTCCTGAGGCGCCCTCTCTCTTCCCTCTCTTCCTCTGCTTCAATCAGAGCCCACCCTCCTCACAAGCCTGCTGGGGAGTCTGAGGACTCCTCCCAGCCCTTTCCAGGGAGACACAGGTTAGCGAGGTTCAGCGGTGCGGGAAGGAAGTGAGCCGGGGGCGGGGGACGCCCTCCGGAGGGCGAATGGCTTTTCTTCTTTCCCCCTCTGCAGCCCTTCCCCTACCTGTTCTCAGTCAGGGAGGCTCTTAGGGCGTGTGGGCCTGGAAGGTGGGGCCGGGAGGGCCCAGTGACTGAGGACCAATGAGCGTGAGTGAGGGAGTAAGGGCTATGGTGTGGTGTAGCGTGGGTCAGTGTAGTGTGGCCGTCAGCTGTGTCCGCGGGCAGGTGGCAGGAGAGGCTACCTGGATACAGGAGGAGCCAGGTCTGCGTGGTGGCTGCACCGGGCACAGCGAGAGAGTGCCTTACTCCCCTGTGACCTCTGGGCTCACGACGTCCCTGGAGATCCTCAGCCCGCGGCGCACAGTGCGAGAGTCCCCCTGATTGGCTCCCAGGGCCCCTCCCCCCTTGGCGCTAAACGACCACGATCTTTCCCTCCCTGCGGACCCAGTAGAGGGCGATGTCACACCTCTGCGGGTGGAGCCCCCACCTCCTACCTCCGCGCTCTCCACCCAGACTCCCGCTATAAAGCTCGGGGCGAGGGAACAGGATGGCGCGGAGGCTGGGCGGGAGTCAGCGACCGCGGATCCCTCCCCATCCCCTGGCCTCGGGAGTAGGAAGTGGACACTTGAGCCGCAGCTCGGCGCACCCCCTCCGCGTTATTTGCGCCTGCAGCCGGGAAACGCGGAGCGGCGGTGCCAGAGGCCCCTCGGCACCGCGTCCCCTCCCCCGGCCGCCCGCCACACCTCGCCCCGTTGACAGCTCCGGCGCCTGATCCAAGGGCCACCTCAGGCCCCCGCCCCCGCCGAGCCCCTCCCCGCCTTACCCCAGGAGGAAGAGGCCTCGCCGAGAGGCTGCGTCCGCTCCCGGCCCTCCCCTCCCGCGCCCGCCCCGGGGGACGCCGAGAGCCGAGCCGTGCGGGGCGCCCCTCCCCTGGCCCGCTGCGGCGGCGCGGCTGGGCTCCGTGGGGGGAATACTAAGGAACCCGCGCCGCCGAGCAGCCCCCACGCGGGAGCGCGCGGAAGGGACCGGGGCGCCCTGGGGAGCCGCGCCGCCGCCTTCCGTGCCGGGGCCGCTCCCGGGCTCCTGCGACCGCCGCCGGGAGTGCGCCACGAAGCCGACCCCGCAGCCTCCGCGCGGCCCCCCCGGGCCTCCACCCCAGCGCCTGAAATCGCGGTCGCACGCTTCCAGGCCGGCAGCCCTGCCGACCCCTCGCTGCAGCCCCTCGCTTAGATTTCCCCAAGGAAGCTCCGCGCTGCCTAGAGGGGTCCAGGGAGAGGTGCGAGGCGGCGACAAGACAGCCGCTCATCCACATGGCGCAGTGTCTGTCCATGCCTCTGTGCCTGCCCAGGGACCCTCTACTTCAGGGTGTGCGGGCCTCTCGGAAAGCGCAAAGGTTTGCTGGCCAAGGATCCCTCCCGGCCCTGGAAACACGCCTGCATTCCTCTCCTCACTGGCCTGTTTCAGCGTCCGAGGAGCCTCTGGGCGCCCCCCACCACGCTTTCTCCTTTGACGTTTCCAGAAGCTGTTTTCCTAACCCTCTCCCCGGTTCTTGTTATTTATCCTCTGAACCTTTCAAGTGTGCAGGCAGTCTCTGGGTGGGAATCCCAGCCGCGGGCCTCACTTACTGGCTCAGCGACTTTGGGCAAGTTATTTAACCTCTCCTTTTCCTCTTCTGTAAAAAGAAGATAAAAATACCTCCTCGCCTGGCTGGGTTTGTTGTGAGATTAAATAAGATCCATGTATAAATGGGGCATTTCACCCAGCGCCTGGGCAAGGGAAGCCTTGGTGAGGAGTAGCCGTACTTCGGGCCTCTGCCTCTCAACACCAGTAGCTCTCCTTCCCTTTGTCCTTGGTCACTTGACCCTGGGAACTGATCAACCCCCTCTACCCTTAGCTCCCTTAAAGACAATGGCTGGGAACCAACTCAGTAAAACACCGTCCAGCAAGAGCCTGCCCCCGTCCCAGGAAGGCCTCTGGCCTTAGAAGGAAGGAACTCCAGGGTAGTTTGTTCTCCACTGTCACTGTCCCACTTCCAAGAAGTCTGTTAGATGCTTAAAGCAGTGAGGTCCAGGGACAAAGGGGAAACTGAGCCTGGATGGGCCCCGATCTGGTTTCCCAATGCCTCCAGGGAGTTGTGAAGGGTTGGCAGCCTGGGACTGTGAACCTGGAAGCAGGGAATCATGCTTCAGGAGGAGAAATAAGAAGGGGCAGGAGAATCATCTTATTGCCTTTATTCTGCTGTCGGCCCAGCTGGACCCACTGCAGGGCACAGGGCCAAGCTTTTACACGCTCACCCATGCTCTCTGTGCAGGCCAGTGCGTGCACACAAACACACGCGCGCATACACACACACACACGCACTCACACATCCCGTCTCTGGCTTCGAGAGTCAGTCTCTGGGGGGCAAAGGGCAACTCCTTGGCCTGCCCCTGCCTGCCCTTTTATGACAGCACCAAGGGCGGGGGTGGGGCAGGGCCCTCAGGCCCCCAGAACAAATCCCTGTGCAAACTGGAGGTGCCGGCTGGCTTCAGGATGGGGATGTCACATTTCCACATTCCTGGAGTCCCCTCCTCCAGTTCCTGAGGGAGGGACTGCTCTCCACCTACCTGGGGGGCCAGACCCCTGCCAGGGCTGGGCCCTGTGGAACCCCGGCTTACCCCCACCTGACCCTGCCAGGACTTCCAGCATTGAAGAACAGACAAGTGTGAGGTTGTGGGGATCCCCCGCTGGAGAGCAGGAAGGTCTGGCCCTGAGGGGCTTGGGGAGGGGTCATCACCCCCTCTCCTAATCCATCTTCAATATGAAGAGGTTTGGGGCACTCTTCCTGGGGAGGGAGCACAGGCCTGGAGAAGTCCCAGCTTGGGCCCTTCCCAGTCTTCCATCTTCTGGGCCACAGCCTAAGGCCAGGCATCCAAAAGTCCAAGAGTCCAAAAGTCCAGCCGGCTGCTCGGCATCCCTGCGCAGTCCTCAGGGTCCCCCGTGGGAGCTGGTGTCAGACCTGCACAGGCAGCGTCTGGTTCATCTGCAGCCGCATGTCCTGGATACTGCTCAGGATCTTCTTCTGGTGGCCGGCCAGGGTGACCCCGATGCGGAGCAGGTCTCTGCAGATGAAGCAAAAGCAAGATCAGTCCCTCTCCTCCTGCCCTCAACTCGGGGCCCAGCCCAGGGCCCCCTGCCCTGCTCCTCCGAATCTGAGGCATACTTACTCTGCGGTCATCTGGGCCACCAAGTCAAAGGATGCAAACCCTGCACTGACGAAGCTCTCCTTGTACCGCCCCATCTTGATGGCCTCCAGCCAATCACCAACTGTCGTGAAGGTTGTGTAATCTGGGACCGTGCGGTCCAGGAGGGGCTGTGACATGCTATGGGAAGAAGAGAAGGACCTGTTGAGTCTTGAGGGCAGGAGGTAGGGCTACTGGCTGGGCGGGAGCAGGGGCAGAGGTACTGACCCAGACTGAGCACTGGCTATGACCTTGAGGCTGGCAGCATTGCGGATGAGCTTGTCCAAGGTATTGACGATCTGGGAGAATTTGGGCCTGAGGTTCCGGTCCCGCACCCAGCAGTCCAGCATGAGCTGGTGCAGTGCTGTGGGGCAGTCCATGGGCGGTGGCAGCCGGTAGTCCTGCTCCACAGCATTGATGACCTAGGCCGAGGGCCGGGAAAGCCAGAGTGAGCCACCGCCACCATCCCTAGCCAGCACCCACCCGCCCAACTGCACTGGCTTGGCCCCACTCACATCCTGGTTGCTCATGTCCCAGTAGGGTCGCTCTCCATAGCTCATGACCTCCCACATGACAATTCCGTAGCTCCAGACATCACTAGCAGAAGTGAACTTCCGATAGGCAATGGCCTCCGGGGCCGTCCAGCGGATGGGGATCTTTCCGCCCTGGTGAGAGGGGCACAGGCCCTTCACCCTGTGACTCCGAGCTGCCCCCCAGGCCGGAGCCCCTGCCTGACAGGCCCCGTCCCCAGTCTCCCTCCCAGTGACTTCCTGTACCAGGGAGCTGGTGTAGGTGGGATCGGAGGGGTCATCCTCCAGGAAGCGGGAGAGGCCGAAGTCTGAGACTTTGCAGACCAGGTTGCTGTTGACAAGGATGTTGCGGGCAGCCAGGTCTCGGTGCACATAGTTCATCTCAGACAGGTACTTCATGCCAGCAGCAATGCCCCGCAACATGCCCACCAGCTGGATGACCGTGAACTGCCCATCGTTGAGCTGCAGGCAACAAGCAGGCTCAGGTGTGCCCACCGCCCCATCTCGGTCCATGGCCTGCCCACCTGCCTCCCTCCCCAAGTACTCAGACTATGCAACCATGTCCAGAGTGCCCTGAGGGTAAGTGAGCTGCCCTACTGTGTGTCAAGTACTCGTAGACAACATCCCAATGAATCCCCATGAGGACCCACTAGCTCTTGGCACCCCCATTCTACAACCAGGCAGCTGGGACTCAGAGAGGTTAAGTCACTTGCCTGAGGTCACACAGGCAGTAAGGAACAGAGTCGAGATGTGAACTCCTATACTTCTGAAGGCCTGCTATTTCCCTGCACCCTGCCACCTCAGTAAATGCTATGGACTTGAATAGGGGCTATCTGACTTGCGTGTGGTAGGGGGTTAGCCCAACCCAACTCTCTGGGGGAGGGAGAGGCCCGGGCGCTGGCTCTTACCCGGAGGAAGGCGTCCAGGGCGCAGTTCTCCATGAACTCCGTGAGGATCATGACTGGCCGGCTTTTGGTGACCACGCCCTCAAGCCGGATTATATTGGGGTGATCAAACTGGCCCATGATGGAGGCCTCGCTTAGGAAGTCCCGCCGCTGCCGCTCGGTGTAGCCCACCTTCAGCGTCTTGATGGCCACAAACACCTCCCGGCGGCCAGGCTGTTTCAGTCGGCCCCGGCACACTTCCCCAAACTCCCCTGCAGGGCACAGGGCACCAGCTATGACCCACCCCGCTACCCAGCCCGCCCCAGCGTCTCACCTCTACTGTGCCCCAGGAGACTCACCAGCTCCGATCACCTCCTCAATCTTGACACAGGAGACGTCGATCTCCTTGGCAAACTCCCGAACGGCCTCATTAGGGTCCTCGTAGGTAAAAGGGTCGATATAAACTTTCATTCCAGGAGCAGCTGGAGGGAGAAGAGGTGGGCATGAGAAAGGAACAGGTCTTCAAGCCAGCCTCTCCCCGCGAAGGGCGCAGCTCCAGCAGCCTCCCCACTGAGCCTGGCCCCATATTCCACCCCCCCCACCCCCGCCCCCGGTGTTGCTGCCCTAACCTTCCAGCCCCCGTGAGAAAGCCTGGTGATCATAAAGGCTAGACACCTAGGACTCTACTCCTAGTTCTCTCATCTCTCAGCACATCCAGACCTCTCTCAGGTTCATCCCTCCCCTGGTTCTCACCGCCCTGACCTTGCCCAGGCCTTCCACACTCAGACTATTGCAATAGCCTCCCAGCTGGGCTCTCTGCCTCTGGACTTTTCCCACCGAGCTATCCTGCATTCCGCTGTCTTCCTAAAACAATCTGTTCATTGTGTTACGCCCCAGCTTGAGAGCCTTTCCAATTACCTATGATGGAGTCAAGTCCAAACTCTTCTGCCTGCCTTTCACGACCCTCTGCGGGCTGGCGACGACTACCCAGCCTGGCTTCCTAGCAGCTGTCAAACCAGTCTTCTGGCTGCCCCCACAGTTGGGCTCCCTCCCCACCCCGCCCACTACCTTCCAGAGGCTCCTCTGGCCAGGAATGCTCTCCCTCACCTCCCAAAACCCTGCTTATCCCGCCTGGCTCAGCTCCAGTCCACCTCCTCCAGGAAGCCTTCCTCTTCTCTAAACTCTCATGCCTTTTACAACAGGAGCACCCGGCTCAGTGCTTAATTGTTCTCTGATTGTTTCCTGTGTGTATGCTTACTGTCTTCCCCATAGGACTAACTGCCTCTGCGGGGAGGGGTCAGACCTCCGTCATCTCTGGGGCTAGCTGGCCGAAGTGAGTGGGGGCACAGGGTACCCGGAGAGAGATAGGGGTCAGGAAATGGCACTTGACTGGAAGCAGGAGGGGGCATTCAGGGTTTATCTATAAGGAATGAAGTCCCAGGCAGGGAGAAGGGTGTCTGTGAGCCCTGGGGGGGGCCAGGAGAGCTTAGGGAGGGTGTGGGGGGGCAGACGGGGGTCCAACTCACTGTACTGCTGCAGCTTCTCCGTGTACTCCGAGTCCGAGCCGTGCCGCTGCTTCCTGGAGGGGGCAGGGTGGAGGGCAGGCCTGAGACCAGCCCTATGGCTCCCTTGTTCAGGAGACCCTTGGGCTCACAGAAGGGGCAGAGAGGACACAGCGGATGGCCTGGGGCCAAGTGCCACACTTGGTGGTCACAGCAGCCTCTGGCGCTCTGGGCAAGGGGCTTCATGGACTCAGTCCCTAGGAAACCTGCCCAGAGATTCAGGGGATGGGGTGTGGACAAAGGGCAGGATGGGGACACAGGCAGGGATGGGAGAGGGCTTCCCCAGCGACGGCTGGCACCAGGAGGGCAAAGGCCCTGGGTCTGAGGGAGGTGGTGGCGGCTTGTCTCTGTGGCATGAGGGGCCCCAGGGTGTTAAGGGCAGTTCCGGTCAGCCCAGAGAGCAACAGGGCCTAGGAGTACCTGAGGCAGACGATGGCGATGACCACGACGGCCACCACGAAGACAAGGCCAGCTGTCGCAGAGCCCACGATGAGGGGGAGCTGCTCCTGGAGCTGCTGGGCCCCGGAGCCTGGAGACAGAGAAGGGGCTGCTGAGTGGAGGGACAGACAGTGAGGGCCATGATGGGGACAGGTGCGGGGGCTGCTAACCTCTGTCACTTGTGGTCTCAAACTCGGCGGGCCGGCTGTACTTCCCGTAGCCAGCGACTGTGCGGGCCCGGACCTGGACCACATAGCGGGCGTCGGGCCGCAGCCCGTCCAGCTGCACGGAGTTCATCTGGCTGGTCACTGTGGAGGCGATGCCCTCACTCTGCAATGCCAGGAGGCAGGGGGCATCCTCAGGTGGGTCCTGAGGCCAACTGCCCTGTTCACACCCAGGCCTGCCGCATGCCCCCTCCAAACCCAAGGCCTTGCTCCCAAGGGCCCGACCCCCTGTGGGGGTAATTTTCTCAGCCCAGCTCAGCCCAAGGCCTCCTCCTGCCCCTTGAGGCTCTGACCTTCTCAAAGTACTTCATCTCATAGTCCAGGATGACTCCGTTGGGCCGCTCCGGGGGCGCCCAGGACAGGGTCAGGCTGCTGCCTGAGCTGCTGTGCAGGCGTAGAGTGGGCACTTCGGACGGGGCTGGGAAGAGCAGGGGGCTCACCAGGGGCTCTCCGGACCCTGGCGTCCTTCCCAAAGACCCGCTTTCCATGGGACCCCCAGTGGTCCCTTGGCAGGCCCTGGGACACCTCAGCTCGATCCAGGGGAAAGTGAGCCAGGCCCTACCCGCCCGTGTCCCCTCCTCACCAGCCTGGTTGGTGGTGATATTCACAGCCGCATAGCGGGGCGGCAGAGGGCTCTTCCCCGAGACGCCGTTGACTGCCTGCACCTCAAAGGTGTAGCGCGTGTGGGCCAGCAGATGGCTGATGTGGACCCGGCGCTCTGTCAGGCCCAGCTGCCGAGGCACAAACTCCACGTTGTCATCACAGCGTGAGCAGGCTGAGGGCCCCCCAGCCCCAGGGCCTCCATGGCACTTCTTGCAGATGACATTGTACAGGAGGTCATCCCGGCCACCCAGGTCCCGGGGCTCACTCCACTCGAGGATCAGTGAGGTTTCATTCACATTGGAGATCACGCCTCGGGGCGGAGATGGCACGGCTGTGGGGGACATGGAGGTGAAGGTAGTGAGCGCGGGGCTGTGGGACCACCATTCTGCCCAGAGTTCCTGCACACTCCAACCTGCCTTGCCTCTGCTTTGATAAACAGAATAACTTTCCTACATTTCTTCACTAGGCAGACTCCTATTTATCCTTCAAGACCCAACTTGTGATGTCACTTCCTCTTGGAAGGCTTCCTTGATTGATCCACACCCTACACTCTGCATGTACATAAAAGAATTCCTAGACAAACTTCTAGCCCAGCTCTTAGAACATTATGGTAATTATCTGTTTTTATACCTATTTTGCCCAGCAGATTTTGAGCTCCTTTAGAACAATGACTATGTTATTCACTCCATACCCTCAACACCCGGCACAACGCCTGGCACACCAAAGGCCAGAGCAGGGAGGAGGTGGGGCACAAGGCCACGCTCAGGATGTGAGGCCCCCTTCGTGGATAGAGCGGGGCTGGGGAGAGGCACTTCTGTGCAGAGGGAGGGGCGATGGGCTAGAGGGCCTCCAGCTGCCAAGCTTCCAGCCAGTTCCTCATCGTGGCCAGGAGCTAGGAGGTGCTTAGCAGGTGCTGGCGGAGGGGTGAGCTGGCTGACCTGGATTCTGGCTCAGGGGCAGTCACCTCCCAGCTGTGCCATCTTGAATGCAACATCTAACTTCCCGAGCCTCAGCTGCTCCTCTGGAAAGTGGGGCTATTCATAGTGACTGCCTAGGCATCCCAGGAGGGCCCCCCAGAGGGAAGGCCAGCGGGGGGCGGGGGCGCCCGTTCACTCACTGGTACAGGCACTGTCCGCGGAGTCCGAGTCTGCGCGGTAGAAGTTATTGTGGCAGGTGCAGATGCTGGCGGCCGTCGAGGTGGTCCGGCTGTTGGGAGGACAGGGGAGGCAGGGCCCCTCTCCCTGCTTTGCCTTGTAGCTCCCAGGGGGACAGGCTGTGGGGGAGAAGAGGTTGGATGGGGCTCACCTCCCTTCCCCGCAGACACCGGACCACCACAGCTCCGTGAGAACCTGGCTCCTCCCCAGCCTAGGCCCTAGCCCCCCCAGACTAGACTGTGGGGCAACGCTGGGATGGCCTCACTCCAGCTGCAGCTACAAAAGGCCCTGTTGCCCCATGGAAAGCCCACGTCAGCGGATTCCTCCCGCCCCTGCCCCCTCGCCCCAACCCCGGGGCCTCACGGACGAAGACGTCAGCCCGTCACCTGGATGGCCTGGGCTTGTTGAGGCAGGGAAGACAGAGAAAGGGGGAGGAAGAGGCGGGGATGGGAAGGGACCACCTTCGGGGCCAGCAGCACCCATACCGTTCCCTGTTCTGTGGGGATGCCCCGCCCCTCCGGAGGCTCCAGGAAGACCATTCTGAGGACCCTGAAGGGCACCCTAGAACAGCCAGGAGGGGAGGCCTTGACACTGAAGCTCTCCCCCCACCCACCAGAGCCAGCAGCAGCTCCTTTCTGCCCTTGGGCAGGGACGGGGGTGAGGGCGGGTGAGAGGAGAGAAAGAAAGCAGGCAGGAAGGCTGGGGTCACCTGGAGTTCAGAGGCCTCGTGTCCACAAGGGGGCTGCCCCCAGAGCAAGCCCAGGGCCCAGGACCTGAGCATCCTAATCCCCAGTGGCCCTCCTGCCATCTGCCCTTGATCCCCGGACACAGGCCCTGTGGATCTAGGTGGCTGTATCATGCATTCTTCACACTGGAGCATTTGCTAGTCAAAGGGGGCACCAGTAATGGCTGAGTTAGGAAAACGGGTATATAGCAAGACCCTCAGGCGGCCGCCGCCTCTCCATGACCGCCTCTGGCGGGGGCACCATGGGGGACAATGTCCAGTGCCGGGCTTGCCCTTTCCTGGGGTTTCATCTCCCCTGACCAAGGTGATATTCCATCCTAGCTCTTTTGAGCCAGCGGGAGAGGGGGCAGAGGCCAGGCCAGCCTGGTTGCTATGGGAACCAGCATGCATTTCCTGCCAGGGACCTGCAGAGTGTTAGCCCCTCTTCAGGCTGTCAGGCTCATCACCCCACCCCCTTTCTCCACTTAGCAAGAGGAAATCTCAGGACAGGTTCCCATCGAGAAGTGGAGAGGGCCCGGAATGGCGCCGTTCACCTTCCCATGAGAACACTGGGCCTCGCAGCCAGCCTCATGCTGCCAAGCCCTCACACCCAGGGTGCGGTAAGAGCCATCGCTACCCCTCAGCACTGCAGGCTGTGCGCCCCAGAGAAGAGAATCGGGCAGTGGGAGCGAAAGATAAGGCCCTCAGCACACCATCCTGCATGGCAAGGCACAGGAGGAGGCTTCGTGCCAGCTTCCACATCCTCAGCTACGAGGCCGGAGTTCAGAGCCTCTCCAAGACTCAGTTTCCTTACTGGCGAAACAGGGAGATGACAGGAATCTACCTCACGGGGAGTGGTGAGGCTCCATGAGAGACCCCTAGGTGGACAGGTTTGACACCTGAGAAGCTTAGTACGGAAGTCTTAGCAAGCCATCAGAGGCCAGCAGATCACCTGAGGTCGGGAGTTCAAGACCAGCCTGACCAAGGTGAAGAAACCCCGTCTCTACTAAAAATACAAAATTAGCTGGGTCTGGTGGCGAATGCCTGTAGTCCCAGCTACCATGAAGGCCGAGGTAGGAGAATCACTTGAACCTGGGAGGCGGAGGTTGCAGTGAGCCCAGTTGGTGCCATTGCACTCCAGCCTGGGTAGCAGAGCAAAACTCCATCTCAAAAAATAATAGTAATAATAATGGAAGAACACCCCAGCTCTCATGGATCCCAGGGCTCTGCAGACTCAAGGCCAACACTGAGCTGGTGGCTGTGCTCCCATGTGGCAGACACTGTCCTAAGGGCAAATTGCTGCTCACGTGAGCCTCACTACAGCCCTACGAAGGAACCTCATGATCGTCCTCATCTTGCACATGAGGAAACCGAGGTTCAAACAGTTAAGTAACTTGCCCAGGACTGGGCACGGTGGCTCACGCCTGTAATCCCAGCACTTTGGGAGGCCAAGGCAGGCGGATCACTTTAGATCAGGAGTTTGAGACAGCCTGACCAGCATGGTGAAACCCCGTCTCTACTAAAAATACAAAATTAGCCGGACGTGGTGGTGCGTGCCTGTAATCCCAGCTACTCAGGAGGCTGAGGCAGGAGAATCACTTGAACCTGGGAAGTGGAGGTTGTGGTGAGCTGAGATCACGCCACTGCACTCCAGCCTGGGCAACAAGAGTGAAACTCCATCTCAAAAAAAAAAAAAGTAACTTGCCCAAGGTCACGTAAGTGGTAGGTGGCAGTCAGGACTGGACTTCAGTACTGGGCCCTCACCACTGTGTGATTTATATGCTGCCTCCCAAGGGGCAGAGGAGAGCCCAGGTTTTTTAAAAGGCCATGCACAAGGTGCCCACAGCCCCTGTGCCCTCAGCCCTGGGGCCGACCTACCACTTGCAGGGTGAAGCACAGACTCAAAGCAGGACTAAGCGGGCATCTCTGCCAGCCTCCTGGGCCTCTGACTGGGCCCTCCAGCGGCCTGCCTGCCGAAGGTTCTCCGCGTCTCTCTTCCTCTGTCTTTCATTTCATTTTTGCTTTTCCTATCCTTGTGTCTCTCTGCATTTTCTCTCTCAGCTCCCTCTTGTGCACCCCCTTCTCTGCATCTGATCCCCCACTCTTCCTTTTCCTGCCTCCACTGCAGAGCTGCTGCCAGACCTCCTGGTCAGACAGCAAGCAGGAGCTGGGGCACGTATGTAGCCATGGCCCAGGCCCTCCCCACAACCCTTTCCCAGGCCGGTCCCCACTCACGGCGGCACTGGGACTCCTTGGCAGCTGGCTCATGGCCGGTGGCACAGGTGCAGGCACCCACGGGCACCATCCACTCCCCGTCGCCGTTGCAGTAGAGCTTGAGTGGCACCGACACCTCCACGGCGTTAGGGATGCAGGTGCCAGGAGCGATGACCAGCGAGGTGGGCTCCGCCCCAGTGAGAGTCTCGGGGAAGAGCGCGAAGCCTGCGGTGGTGGATGCACACTTCTTGTAGAAGGCGCGCACGGAGATGAGTGACATGCAGGCGCCCTGGTCTTGGAAGGCCAGGTAGAAGCCAGCCTTGGAAAGTGGCCCAAAGCTGCGCACCTTGGTGTTGACGCGGCCGGCGTCGAGGCGCGAGAAACTCTCATCAGGGGCGATGGTGTCCACTTTCACGTAGGGGTTCTCCATCCAGAAGGGGGAGGAGGCGGAGGCCACATCGCTGTCGGCCTCGTAGTAGAAGAGGTTGAAGGTCTCCTTGCAGGAGCCGGGGATGTTGGGGATGCTGTTGCAGTCGCGCACCGTGAACTTGAGCTCCACGTAGACCCGCTGCACGTCCCGCCGCCAGATGAACCCCGTGCGGAGCCAGTTGTTCTGGCTTGACTCGCGCACGTTACACACCTGGTACGTGCGGATGGGATTCATGGCCTCATCATAGCCACTCACCTCTTCCCACTGTGCAGGGACCAACGAAAAAGAGAGCGTGAAGCTGGCACGTGCCCAGCGCTTCCCCCACGCCCAGACTGCTCTATTTACTTCACAGGGATGCTTCTACGGTGTAGTGGCTGAGCATAGAGCCTACATGGGTTCAAATTCCAGCTCTCTGCTTGCTGTGTGATTATGGGTAAGTCAGTTAATCGCCACGTGCCTCAGTTTCCCCATCTGTAACATGGGGAGAATAAAGCTGTGTAAGGAATAGACTTTAACTGGATAAAACATTTAGGACAGGACTAGGAACATTAGCTATAATATTTGTGATCTTTATGCGTCAGTTTCATCACCTGTAAGATGGGGCCTAATGGAACTGAACGAGGCTGTGAGGAATTACATCAGGCTGATAAACGTGATGGGCTTGTAACAGCGCAAGCACTTCTTTACTGGCCGTCACTATTAGCATCGCATTTAATCTTCACAACTCCATGAGGAGCCGCATCTGCTGTCTTGATGTTTAGAGATGGGGAAGCCAAGGCTCGTAGGGGGAGTTGTGCCCAAGGTCACAGTCAGGCTGGGTGACTGCAGGGCCTGTGGTGCCATCCTACTCCAGGGTTCTAGAGCTTAGAGCAGCCATGAAGGCCATCTAGGGAGGTTAATTCGAATATCTGAGAGACGTTCAGACTGCAGGAATTTAGCAGTCAAGGTGTGGTGGTCCAGAGGGGTAAACGGCCTTGCCGAAGGTCACACAGCAGGTTAGAGATCTGGAACTAAGGTTTACAAGCCAATGCTCTCTCCAGGGACCCAGGGCTGAGGGAGATGGTGGGGATGGACACGCGGAGGGCTGTCAGAAGCAGAGGGAGTGGGGCTGGGAGGCAGGCAGAGGAGTGAGAGGTAGAAATGCCCACAGAGAAGGACCACGAGGTGCTTCAGAGGGTGACAAGTGAGGAGGATGGGGACAGCAAAGGAAGTGAGGGTGACGGGCAGAGGGGCATGCAGGCTGGAAGCGGGGGGCAGCCTAATGGCAACCAACGCTCAGGAGAATGACGGGAAAGTCTCACCCCAGTTTCTGGATGAGATGTCCACGCCAACTCAGATGTCACCCATTTTGTGTCCATGAGGGTCTCTGGGGAGATAACGGAGGAAAAGTTCAGGGACTAATTTCAGGAGGAGGAGAAAGAAGAGATTGCAGCTGGTGCAGGGACGCGGGGACTCACGCCTGGAATCCCAGCACTTTGGGAGGCTGAGGCGGGTGGATCACTTGAGGTCAGGAGTTCAAGACCAGCCTGACCAACATGTTGAAACCCCATCTCTACTAAATATACAAAATTTAGCCGGGTGTGGTGGCACACGCCTGTAATCCCATCTCCTCAGGAGGCTGAGGCAGGAGAATCACTTGAACCCAGGAGGCAGAGGTTGCAGCGAGCCGAGATTGCACTACTGCAGTCCAAATTGGGCAACTAGAGTGAAACTCCATCTAAAAAAAAAGGAAAAAAGAAAAAAGAAGGCCGGGCGCGGTGGCTCAAGCCTGGAATCCCAGCACTGTGGGAGGCCGAGGCGGGTGGATCACGAGGTCAAGAGATCGAGACCATCCTGGTCAACATAGTGAAACCCCGTCTCTACTAAAACTACAAAAAAAATTAGCTGGGCATGGTGGCGCGTGCCTGTAATCCCAGCGACTCAGGAGGCTGGGGCAGGAGAATTGCCTGAACCCGGGAGGCGGAGGTTGCGGTGAG